TCATTGCTCAGTTTTAAGTTTTTGTGTTTTGGTCTGTTTTTCTTAAACTATAAGCAATAGGTCAACTATATTTGTTGTATGGAAGAATTGTTAGCTGTACATGCCTGCCTAGCATGGTTCATCTGACCTTGACCTCATTTTCTTGGTTCATTGGTCAATGTTTAGTTTACTTGGTTAATGTTAAGTTTATGTGACAGTTGTAATAAAGCTTTATATTTAGGACTATCAACATAATATCAATGATTAGTAAAGAAGGCGAGACATTTCAGCGTGTGCACTCTTGTTTCATTCATAAATTACTTTATACTTGGAAATATAATTTTGCTTGGAGTTATAGTTTCTAAAAAAAGTATTGTCATTGAAAGAGTTGACATGTTGCAATGTACATTTATTCTACATAGTTCTATGGTACCAAATCAAAAGTTTATATTATAGAAAGAAGTCAAAGGTTTCCCATCATAGTTTAGTTACATACATTTTTTTTGTACCTGAGGTCGTTGAATATAGATCATTATATAAATAAGGAGATGTATTATGATTGCCAATGAAACAACTATCATCCATACATTGTACTTACCAGTAACAAACCACATTTGCAAAGTTGAATAAAATACAGTTGATAACATTTACTAATTACTTAAAAGAAAATGCCAAACTATTTTAAACAGTAGGCCCGAGAACACAGTTATTTCGTAGTGCATTTCTTTTAGACAATAAATTCAAATTAAAAAAATCGCACTTGCTCTATCTCAAAAAGATATTTACAGTGTAGTGTACTACTATTGATACAAATAATATCAAAATTATAGAAACTTCTACCAGCTCTAACTCGAAATATTGACAATTCTGTGTTAAGGGGGGCTAAAATTCAGTTTGACAGCTTCAGACATTCTAATTTTTGACCTTTTTTAACTGGACCAAATCACTACTTAACATAAAGATTCAGCACCCAAATTTTTTTAACATGTAATTTCATCCCCTTACTTAATATTTCATGCATAAAATATCAAGAAATAAATTGGGAAAGTGTATCCAAAAAAAATGCAAGTTATACACTGTTCACATTAGGGACTATATTTGTAGACAACGAAAACCAAAGGACGATAACTGTGTCCTTGGACCTAATAGGATAGAAAGACTTGACCAATTTTAATAAAACTTTGCATGACCTAAGCTTATGCAATTATAAGATAGTTGGCCAAGTTTCATGGCCATAGGATATATATTATAGAAACTAGGGCCATTTTAATATTGAAATTTGGTGGTTTATTTTTGACGTTTAAATCAAATATTTTCAACTGTCAAGATTTTGGCCTAAAAAATTTAAATATTGCAAAAATTTGCTTTTTAGATACTCTTGAATTTAATATAATAAGTATTAAAAGCAACGGAACACTCCTTTGATTTATCAGATTTATTACAGTTATTCAAAAGTCAAATTTATATGAGCCTGTGCCTGAAAATAGAGATTTTCGAATTAAGGGAAGCCTTACATAAACATGCATTTTTTTCAACCAATTTGAAGTTTTTGAAGTTTTTTAACCATACATTATTCTTCCACATATATTAAATGTACTTTAAATGTAAAGAAAAGTTACAAAAAGCATACCACATGAGTATAAAATGGTCTTAGGCCATGTAAGACTGAGAATTATTTAGAGTCGATTTAGGCCGTAGCCCATCTTTACATATAAAAATGCACACAGAGGCTATAAGAAATTGAAATTTGTTACTTTTTGCTCATTTCTATGCTAAGATGTCATGATACAAGAAGTCTAATTGCAAAAGGACTCTTGAATTCAAATTTTTTTTGCAGACAGTATGGTCTGATGACCAGTTTTTCACTTTTCAATGGAAAACTTGCATGTAGTTTTAATCTCATTTGGCATATATTTGAACCACTTACTATCCTAAAGAAGAAAATTATGGTAGCATATGAAATGAATAGGGTGTACTGATCATTGTAAAGTGTTTTTTTTTACAGATTTAGTGAAATATTTGTGATGGACTACAGATTTTATGTACAAAGCTCTTCACATTTCACATACATCAAACAGGCCGTTTAACCAGGGACATAAATACAAATATTCTGCACATTTTTTCTGTGATAATCTTCTTTTCTCTAGATTCCGAGTTCACAAATGGTTAATTAAATTTGATTTAAGCATAGAAACACAAATATCAGGAACATAAAAAGCTGTCAGATAGAAAGTCAGCATGGCTCTTAGGCATAAAATGGAAACTGCTTTAAAATGCTTATTTTAGCCGTATAATGCCAAAATGGGACATTTTAACAGAATTTCTGTCAAACAAAGATGTAAATCCTTTACTTTTATTGAGTTTGACAAATTGAAACCAGCAAACCATTCAGGAAAGTTGCCAAAGTACAGAATCTACATTTACGGAATTCATCTCTTAGGCCCGAGAACACAGTTATTTCGTAGTGCATTTCTTTTAGACAATAAATTCAAATTAAAAAAATCGCACCTGCTCTATCACAAAAAGATTTTTACAGTGTAGTGTACTACTATTGATACAAATAATATCAAAATTATAGAAACTTCTACCAGCTCTAACTCAAAATATTGACAATTCTGTGTTAAGGGGGGTTAAAATTCAGTTTGACAGCTTCAGACATTCTAATTTTTGACCTTTTTTAACTGGACCAAATCACTACTTAACATAAAGATTCAGCACCCAAATTTTTTTAACATGTAATTTCATCCCCTTACTTAATATTTCATGCATAAAATATCAAGAAATAAATTGGGAAAGTGTATCCAAAAAAAATGCAAGTTATACACTGTTCACACTAGGGACTATATTTGTAGCAAAGGACGATAACTGTGTCCTTGGACCAGTATTTGACTAGAAACATAGAAAAAAAAGGTACAAACTGGACATAATGCACTAGTTCATAAACAAGTGAGAACAATCGCCTTCATATAGTGCTCAGAATATGACATTCATAAAACTTGTTCAATATCATTAGAGAACTCTAAATCTTAAATACTGAAAGCCACCTCTGATAAGTACAATGTACTATGCAAGATAATGATATAACTGGACTAAAAATACACACAACCTGTAATTAACTGCCTTTACAGCGCTTTCGCGCTTTGATTTTTACTTTAATTTGTGTTTAAAAAAATGAATTATAACTATACAAATTTCAAAATGTTCACTTTCTACACATTTTCCGCCCTCAGCTCATTACTGATGACCTTTGTTCTTGCTTCACTTGACCCAAACAGGAAGTTGTCTGAATTACTGTTTTTTTCCGGATTGGACTAAATATCAATAAGGTGTATAATAGATGCATCAAAAATGAAGTTGTGACCCTATGATTGTTTAATTCTTTTCTCAGACAAAGTAAGACATGATGTTTTTGTAATGTTTCTTCCTCTTCGTTGTTCTAACTTTATTATGCTTATTATTTGTATGACCTGTCACTTAGTGGTTTGGTGTATAGTCTATGTCTGTTCTATCATTCTGAAATTAAACAGTTGTCTGGACTATTTTTGTCGAGCCTTCAGAATTTTTTCGCAAAAGCGAGATATAGCGACCCTAGATTTTTTTGGTGCATCAACATTTCGGTTTAGTCTGTGGTTAAAGTTTTTTTTAGACATCAATAACTTTGTCAAACCTGCATGGAATTTTATTGAAATTTGGACAGAAGTTTGTTTAAGACAAAAAAAAAAGTATCCAGTAAAATAATTTGAAAATATTTATTTTCATTTTTGTTGAGCCTGCGACTTCTGTCACAAAAAGCTCGACATAGGGATAGTGATCTGGTGGCGGCCGCAGTGTTAACTAACTGCTTAAAAGCTTTATATTTTAGAAGGTGGAAGACCTTGATGCTTCATACTTTGTATATAGATGCCTTATGTTAAGAAGTTTCCATCTATCATTGTCCTTGAGCTCATTACTACTTAAAAAAAAAGTTAAGATATTTTGTTATGTTAATTTCTCTCATATTATGAGTAATGGGATAACTATATTTAGTATGTGCATACCTTGCAAGGTCCTCATGACTGTCAGACAATTTTCAACCGCCTCGGTGGTCTTATGGTAGCGTGTTCGCATCGAGTGCAGGAGGTCGTGGGGGTCGCACCTGGACCGGGTCAAACAAAAGACTTTAAAGTTGGTATTTACTGCCTCACCGCTAAGCACGCAGCATTAAGGAGTAAGAGCAAAGACTGGTCGGCTCAGAGTCAGAATAATGTGTCCGGGTAAGGTGACATGTCTTCCTGCGAACTGTTAATCCGGCTCAGCGTTTCGGTCTAGTACAAAGCAGGGTTAGTATTCATATTACATTAATATGATCTCGTCCTGAATATGCATATCAATTTGCCGCTGGACGTTAAGCAGCCATCCACCATCATCATCTTCATCTGACCTCAACTTCATTTCATGGATCAGTGAACAAGGTTAAGTTTTCGTGGTTAAGTCCATATATCAGATACTATAAGCAATAGGTCTACTATATTTGGTGTAACAAGTCAAATTTTGTCAATATAGTAAGTAGACTGTCACTCTTTATAGGAATGATTGCCCTTAAATGAGGATTTGTTTACCCTCTTTTGTGTTTTGAGCAAAAACTAAAGAAGATAGAGAGAAACTAAACAGACTAAATGATCAGCAATACTAGATCAACAAAACAGAGATTTTTGTTATGAATTCTATTCTCCTCTACAATGTTGGAGAATGTCCTTTGTTGAATATGCACATAGACCAAGGTGAGCGACGTAGGCTCTAAAGAGCCTCTAGTTAAGACAACATTACACTTTTATACTGACAGCAGCAGTCGCAGGCGAGACACAGGGTTCCACAGAACCCCTTACCAATGTTTCTTAATGCCTACAGATCTCTAGCCGTTTAGCGGATGTTTGGTACTATAAATTCATGACAGAATTTAAAATATACAAGCTGTATCAAAGGAATTTATATTATTTGGTTATTTCTGTTTTAATTTCACAATAAAATTTGAAATATTCTAGACATGGTTTAGAAACACAGAAGCTGAAAGACATGCATGAAGCAGCAGAAAAGTTAAGGAGAGAAAGATGGATTGAAGATAAAACTAAAAAGATTAAAGTAAGTGGTAATAACAAAAAATGAGTTAGACATTTCAGAGACAAACTTTGATTTTAGATGAAAGTAAGAATATAATTGAAGTAATGAATTTGGCTATTATGATATTAGGTCTCTTTATGTCACACACATGCTATTCACATGCTTTAGTTCTTATACTTGGCTTATATTTGGCTTTTAGTGTTCCTGATGGAGGTAAATTCAGATAAGTGCTTCAGACTCATACAATTTATAAAGTATTATTTTCAATTTTTTATTATTCAAGTATGAATTATTAATATAAAAAGAAATCAAGATCATGAAAATAAATTAGTAAAACAGAAAAGTTATAGATGTGTGTGTGGGGGGGGGGGGGGGGAGTTTTACAGTATACAGATAAAAATCAATTGAAAACAAATCTAAATCATAACATTTATAAAAATAAAAGTTTACATCAAAAAGATATATCTGTAAGTGAATTATGAAACAAAGCAAAACACATATGAAAAAGGCAAAAAATAACCACATACAAAGCAGATAAGTTAGACCCTTTCACTTCATAAGAATAAGAAATAAAAATGGAACACAATTCTTACTTTCCCCTGTATTATTACTATTGATAAATAACATGTATGAAGAACTCAGTTTTATGCTTTTCAATTTTTAATGTTAAATCAAGACTCTGATAATTAAATCAGACGAGACATGCACACATAATTTATGACTTAAATATACCCCATTATCGATTTGTTTTTTATGAATGAGATACACTGGTTGACCAGAGGTCAATCTGCGTAAACAACATCATCGAAAACAATCAACTCTTACTATGAAGTAATAACATGAGCATTGTGATATAGGAAATTTATGGGAAAGTGCACTTATTTGAAAGTCGTCTATTACAAAGCAATTTTTAAAATTTGATGACTTGGGGAAAGTGTAATTTTATATGTTAAATATTGTAATATGAAAACACAACGTGAAATGAAATGTCAAGATTATCAGTATCAGGTATTAGGGGTCAATGCATTAAGTTATACATTGTGTTTTTAATATCTGTGTCTTTTGAATAAGTAAAAGTTTGAAAACGATTTAATTCTGAAAAAAATAATTTCTTAATGAATTGTGTTTTGTAGGAAATGACAGTTAAGGGATTAGAACCAGAAATTCAGAGATTGATTGCAAAACATAAATCTGAGTTTAAGAAAATCAAACAGATCCATGAAGCTGAGTTACTGGAATCTGATGAGCGAGCAGCACAGAGATATGTTAAAATGACAGAAGAACTTCGGGATCAATTAGCTAAAGAAAAGGAGGCTGCTTGTGCAAGAGAAAGGGAACTTAGTAAACAAAGGTATAAACATTGTGGTTAAACTGTTGTTGTGAAAAATCATAAATAGATTGATTATTTAAGGCAATTCCTTTTACATTTACATATCTTATTAGTTTGTTCAATTCCTTTTACATTTACATATCTTATTAGTTTGGGCTAGATTTACATATCTTATTAGTTTGGGCATTTCTGTTTACATTTACATATCTTATTAGTTTGGGCAAATCTTTTTACATTCATATTTCATTGATCTTAAAATACAAGTGTTATCTCCCTTTAATACAATTTGGTTAAGATAATGAAAAAAATAAATCTCAATTTTTACAACTCTGATTGAAGGACACAACACATACTACATGTATAATAGGTATCAGTTGTAGAATATGAAACATTGTCCAATCATGAAGACCATGATACATTCTATTCCTAGCATTGATTGTTAAGCTACCATTTTGATAAGGGCATTTGATTCATGTATAAAGTGTTGAATTGAAATGTGCCATTTTTTAAAATTTTTTCCAACGGACCAATTCAGATATTTAACTTTGCCCTTGTTGCACTCGCTATATATGTTCTTGTGAATGATATCTGCCAATAACGTGACTTTCCTATTATGTAGCTCTATTTTTAATATTGTTCCATTACTACATATATATCTTTATTTAGGTACGAGAAAGAGTTACAGAATGAAGAGGATGCTTACCAGCAACAGAGGAGGAGGTTACATGCCGAGGTGCAGGAAGAGAAAGAACGAGTATCTCAGCAAGCGACACGACAGAGAACAGAGTTAGATAGACTTCAACGACAGTTGGAAGATAGTCATGCTCATGCTTTAACAGCTATGAAACAAGAATACGAAAAAAGTCGAGAAGAACAAGAGAGACGGCATTCTGTAAGTTATTATATTGTTTAGGTCTGTGGCATGCTATAGCTATAAATTATTGTTTTATCTAAGGTATTCTGTTAGTTATGGTGTTGTTTTTGTGTATACACAGATTTGTAGATTTTAACTGGCAAAAATAATAATTTAGTTTTTTGGTGTCTGTAACCTGTGGCATGCTGTAAGTTATGGTGTTGTATCATTTGTTTATATCTCATGTAACTTGTGTGATGTAAAAAATATTCAAACGACGAAGAGTCAGTTTTATCTGATTTACAATGAAGAAATGAACCAGAAGACTTCAATTGAACAATTGTTTATTTTGCTGAAGCGAGACATAGCGATCGTACTTTCCAGCATTGGTGGAATCAACATTCAAGATAAGTCTGTGGTTAACATTTACATATAGTCTTGGATTAAATTATATAGACATTGATAACTCTATTAAACTTTCATTTAATGTTATAAATCTTGAACATAAGCTTCTTCAAGATCAAGAAATAGCATCAGAAGAGAAAATATCTATTTTACTTATAAATGGAATGAGTTTTTGTAACATTACTCTTTTTCAGCATCAATCACAGGGTTCTGTAGAACCCTTTACAAATTTTTGTCATCTTTATCCACAAGGGGAGGCTTTGTCTGTACAATCACACAGTATGATGCAGACTACAAATATGAAAATCTTTGTGGATATTCTAAATGTATGATGCAGACTACAAATATGAAAATCTTTGTGGATATTCTAAATGTATGATGCAGACTACAAATATGAAAATCTTTGTGGATATTCTAAATGTATGTTGCAGACTACAAATATGAAAATCTTTGTGGATATTCTAAATGTATGATGCAGACTACAAATATGAAAATCTTGGTGGATATTCTAAATGGAAGTGATTTAAATATATTTTTTTTTATTAGGGTGGGGTGGGGGAGAGAGACTTCTTTTTGAAAAATTATGGATCTTTAGTTTGTTCAAAGGGCGAATTTGAGATTTTGTTATTATTTGGCAGTTATAATCCAAAGCAGTCTTTTAAAAACCTTCAACTCTGAAACCATAGGTTAAATAAAAATTTAACTTGGTCATTATAATCTTAAGGATGTCTTGTTTCAAATTTGTACTGATGTCCCCAGAGACTAAAAATAAAACAAAAGAGATGAGATCGATGCTTGTAATTGTCTAAACTTTTGAAAACAACTATGAAATAAGAAAATGTAACATTTAAAAAATACCAAGAAAGTTGACATCTATCTTTTTTCAGTACAGATGGTTTAATCAATAAGATCAAAGACAGAACTGTAAACACACAGAATCTACAAAAATGGTTCATGACTGAAGCCATCAGCTGACTCTTTAAAAAGAGTTATTTCCCTTAAATGAATATTTTTTTTTTTAACAATTCCAACATTTCTGCCTATGATCTTGAAAACTGTTATAGAAAGACAGAAATTGGAAAGTTAAAGATTAATATGCCAATATGACTTAACTCTTAATTGACTTTGTACAAGAGTTATTGCCCTTAAATGGCATTTTTATGTGCTTTTTCTTATATTACATTGAAAACAGTTATACAATCTGACAATTATAGATAGCCAAAAACCAAACGGGGAAAATTATTGCCCCCTCAACGAATATTTTCCAGAGGTCAATTTCCCATAAAGATTATTCAGATTTATTTTAAATTTTATCTTTGTTTTGCACAAATATGCATGTGTTTTCACTACTTCCCTTGGATATTCCTAGAATTACTTTCTAGTCGTGTTATTTACCAAAATGAATATTCCTTTATTACCCTAGCTAGCATCTCCTGCCAGAATGTTATATACTTATCAGGACTGCATGTGTTGCACTAACAACACTTACTGGTAAATGCAACTCAAGTGTTGATAAAATATGATGTTTAATTAATGAATTAATTAACACTTAAAACTTACATACAGTCCTCAGTTTTCAATGTTGTGTTTTGTATACTGTTGTTTGTTTTGGTTGTTTATCGTTTTTATACGCCCCTTTTCGGGACATATTATGGTATATGGTTGTCCGTCCGTCGTCAACATGTCGGACAATAACTCAAAAATACTTTGAGCAGTTTTCATGAAACTTTGGTGACCGGTTTATAACTATTAAAATAAGCTCCCTTTAGTTTTTTTTATAAAATTCTGATATGACATTGAGGAGTTATGGAACTTTATTGGTTTAAAAAGCGACGGGCGTATCATACGCTCATGGCACAGTTCTTATTTTTGCCATTGCTTTATCAGTTTGTTTTTGACATGAGTTTGGAATGTCCCTTTGGTATCTTTCACCTCTCTTTAATTTAAACATTAATTGACATTCGTGCAACCCATTTTTCAATCAGATTCATGGGATATACGATACAAGCTAGGCAAATGTTGAATATGTGTTGAAATTTAATACAGCAAATATTTCATTTAACTGATGATGAAGCTAATAATAAGACATGCATCGATAACCCTGATGTCATCAGATATAAAACAATAAATGACTGGTCCCTTATCTTGTATTTGAAAAATTGACATATCTTATTACATTGTTTACTTTGTCATTATGTAAGTTTTACAGTATTTTTAAAATGATTTTTAAATGTCTTTTATCTATTTTAGTTGAGTTTTATTTGGTTAACTTTTTACGTGTTTCCTTCCAACATATTTGTCAACTTGCATAAAAGCTTTCTATGCATGTTATTGTTATAACTATTGGTACTGGATTTGATACCATATACATTTTCTAAGTTATTAATGGATTGTATTCAGTAAATAAATAGAATCTGAATATATTGTCTTGTATGCAACAGAAGTGGCAGAATGTGAGACATAAGGGTTACCATCCGGCGGCAACAGAGGTGACGTAAACTCTTTGTATAAAGTAGCGATTTCAACGAGTACCAGAGTATTGCTCAGTAGTACTGAGTATCTAATACCCAAATGATACTTTACTAATTGGTTTGTTGTTGCCTTCATTAAGTAAAATTCATTTTTATTGAGAGCACCTGTTAAATAGCAATGTTTGATTGATCAAAATTAAAATATGTTTTGAACTTGATTTAGCTTAACTTTCATTTAAAGTTCCTCCAAAAGAGGTGGGCTATGCACCAGAGAAGCTTTCCTATGCTTACGACTTTTGCTTAACTTTCATTTAAAGTTCCTCCAAAAGAGGTGGGCTAAGCATCAGAGAAGCTTTCCTATGCTTACACTTTTGGTTAACTTTCATTTAAAGTTCCTCCAAAAGTGGTGGGCTAAGCATTAGAGAAGCTTTCCTATGCTTACACTTTTGGTTAACTTTCATTTAAAGTTCCTCCAAAAGAGGTGGTCTAAGCACCAGAGTAGCTTTCCTATGCTTACACTTTTGGTTAACTTTCATTTAAAGTTCCTCCAAAAGAGATGGGCTATGCACCAGAGAAGCTTTCCTATGCTTACATTTTTGGTTAACTTTCATTTAAAGTTCCTCCAAAAGAGGTAGGCTATGCACCAGAGAAGCTTTCCTATGCTTACACTTTTGGTAACTTTCATTTAAAGTTCCTCCAAAAGAGGCGGGCTAAGCACCAGAGAAGTTTTCCTATGCTTTCCACCACATCTGTAATGTCAGAGCAAATATTTTGGTCTGCAGGACTTAGTTACGTAATAAAGTTGAAAAACAGACTCTGCCCAGATAAAGATATCAAAGATAATGTTTCTAAATTAGAACAAATTTGTTACACCCTTTGGTGATCATCAGAGAAAGATTAAACTAATCGTCACCCCTTTGTTATATTAAATGGGTTTTAATTATAATGATTACCAAATATTTGTTTGATCTGCTTTGACTTTGATATCTTTTTTCAATAAGTGTTAATAAAATTATTGGTTAGATTATTGTTTACATAATAAGTATATGTAGTAAATGAGATATATACCTTGTATGCAGATGCCTTATGTTACAAAGTTTCTGTCTGTGATATGTCCATTGACCTTGACCTCATTTTCATGATTCAGCAACTGCTTGAAAAAAAAATGGTAGCTTTTTTGTCATGTGAAATACTCACTTATTATGAGTTAAAGGATACCTATATTTTGTATCCTTGTAAAGTCTAAATGTCAGTCACACAGGATAACCTGACCTTGACCTCATTTCATGGATCAGTGATCAAGATTAAGTTTTTGGAGTCAAGTCGGTATCTAACTAGAAAAACCATATGTGGTGTATGTAATCAGTGTTATGTTCTTTTCAGATACTTTTAGCAATAGATCAGCTGAACTGTAGATTTATCTTCATGGATCAAGAAAAATTATATCTTTGTTGATATTTGATTCCATGATTTTGCCGAATTCTCCATACAAGTCTATAGAAAATAAGAATTCCGTTGAAAACTTTAAATCCTGGTTTACCTATACCCACGAAATGTTGTATGAAATGATTGTACGGTGTACATGTCTGTCTGGCAGGTTTCATCTGACCTTGACCTTTCTTCATGGTTCATTGGACAATGTTAAGTTATTGTATTTTGGGCCATTTCTCAAATAATATAAGTAATAGGACCACTATATCTGGTGTATGGAATAATGGTAATTTGTATATGTCTGTCTGGCAGGTTTCATCTGACCTTGACTTCATTTCCATTGTTCATTGGTCAATATTAATCCCAAGGGTGACTGGGGAAATATGGCCACTCTTGGTCTTCTTCTGGCAGCAAAACCCTTGCCAAAATGGTATGTCTGTTTGATTGTGTGGGATGTATAAATTCTCAGCTAAGTCCTGTCAGAATGGGGACATTACATCCAATGCTTTCTGAAGAGAGAGAGTGCCATGCTCTCTACAGGTTAAGAACCTTTGTAACAACTCCTTGGGGTGGGTCTTATATAGTATAGTAGTTAGTCAGTTTGTACCAGTGACCATTCATATGTCAATATGGAGTATCTATGAAAATAGAGAAAATTAATTTGCTTGAGTTAACCAAGAGCTCTGTCCAAAAAATAAAAGACTAACATTTAAGGTGACCATTGTGGTCATTATCTTTATATGTATTATGACTAGCTTGTCAATCTGACTGATGTACAGCAATATAGTCAATCTCTGGTGAAAACTCTAATCAGATTAGACTGATGTACAGCAATATAGTCAATATCTGGTGAAAACTCTAATCAGATTAGTCTGATGTACAGCAATACAGTCAATCTCTGGTGAAAACTCTAATCAGATTAGTCTGATGTACAGCAATATAGTCAATCTCTGGTGAAAACTCTAATCAGATTCGACTGATGTACAGCAATATAGTCAATCTCTGGTGAAAACTCTAATCAGATTAGTCTGATGTACAGCAATATAGTCAATCTCTGGTGAAAACTCTAATCAGATTAGTCTGATGTACAGCAATATAGTCAATCTCTGGTGAAAACTCTAATCAGATTAGACTGATGTACAGCAATATAGTCAATCTCTGGTGAAAACTCTAATCAGATTAGTCTGATGTACAGCAATATAGTCAATCTCTGGTGAAAACTCTAATCAGATTAGTCTGATGTACAGCAATATAGTCAATATCTGGTGAAAACTCTAATCAGATTAGTCTGATGTACAGTGTCAATCTCTGGTGAAAACTCTAATCAGATTAATCAATTAATCAAACTATTCATATCAAACCAATCAAAAATCAATATATACCTATGTTTATACCTGTGTTTTAGGATGAAATGAGAGACATAAAAGAAAAGTTAAAACTAGAAAAAGAATCTTGGGAGCAAAATTTTTTGAAGAAGCAAGAAACATGGGTTGTGCAAAAAGAACGAGAATTGAAAGAGCAGGTGAAAAAAGAACGAGACAAGGAAATAGAAATGGTAATCACACAACTGGAAGATGATGCCACGTCTACTCGAGAAGATATAGAGCGAGCATCAGAACATAAAACTAGGTACTAAATGTTAAAAAATGTTGATGAAATAAATGATGCAGCACATTGAATTAAGTATGTTATTGTACAGATTAAAAGCAAAATTTTAACAGTGTGCTGTCATTTGATTGGCCACAATAAGTGCATAATCAATATTTTTTGGCTGAGCAAATTTTGCATTTTAAATTTGGATTTTTTTGTGTTTATTTATTATTGCAATTGTGGAACAATTTACCAAAATATGAGATTCATTATTGTTTTCTCAAGAAATACCACACGCAAATAATACTTTCAAGTTTTCAAGTGAGAATTTTTTATTTTTTTTAAACCAATTTAGTCTAACACAATTTTCACTAATAAAAACATCATAATCAGTTTAGAATTTACAGTTATTAGTATTTAATTTGCATGAATTTCAATGATAGTTATCTTCAAATTAATGAGACTTATGAAATTTATATAAAATAAATTAATTTTTTTAGGAGACTGAGAGAAAAATATGAGGCAGAAATGAAAGATTTAGAGAGATCTGAACGACAGGCATTAGAAAAATATAACGAAATGAAGGTAAAAATTGATGGGATATGCATGGCAAATATTATGAAATGAAGGTAAAAATTGATAGGAAAGGCATGTCAAATATAACAAAATGCAGGTAAAAATTGATAGAAAAGGCACTGCAAATATAACAAAATGAAAGTAAAAATTGATAGGAAAGGCATAGCAAATATAACGGTAAAAAATGATAGGAAATGCATGGTAAATATAACAAATGAAGGTAAAAGTTGAAAGGAAAGGTATGGCAAATATAGCAAAATGAAGGCAAAATTGATAGGAAAGACATGGCAAATATAACAAAATGAAGGCAAAATTAATAGGAAAGACATGGCAAATATAACAAAATGAAGGTAAAATTGATAGGAAAGACATGGCAAATGTAACAAAAAAAAGGTAACTGTTGACAGGAAAGGCATGGTAAAAATTATATGCAACCACATGTAATTTGTTTATATTTGTTGTTATGGTTGTCATGGAGAACAAAGTTTTTGGAAATATTGAGGAATATCATTAATCTTTGCAACATAATATTCAAAAGATTGGTCCTCTATGTCCTATTCTTAAGTTGTATTTTATTTGATTTTGTTTCAATTAATTAACATTTATAAGTATAATTCTTATGTGATGTTTAAAAGCTTATCAGTAAAAATGGAAATTAAAAAAAAATATCTTTAATTGTAAAATTTTCTTTTCCTGAAATTTAGTTTTATTTATTTGTAAATATTATTTGATATAAATCAAAATTATATAAAACTTTTTAAAAAATATAATTTAAGAACACTTTATTCTAATGAATTTTTTTTTTATAAAACAAACAAGAGTTAATTATTTTTTTGTAGTCCATCTTTGTATGTTATTAATATATTCTATTTGAAGTGAGTTTATTTTGATTAGATAATGGATATAAGTAAATATTTATATCCATGTAAAATTATAAATCAATCAAATAAATCTATCTGTTGGTAGATTTATATTTAACACTTTTAACTATTTGAATAAAAGTTTCAATAAATGGAGGAAATCAAATCTGACATTAAATCCTTATTTATCATATCAGTTAAATGGTACATATATATTGAATTACTGGGAATGTCTTTGAGACAATATTGTGATAAGTTCTGTCTAATAATGGGTGGGAAGTTAATACGTTATACAAATAAACATTTTAATTGATGGCCTTTATCATTATGAACAACACAGAGTTCAAAGTTTCAGTCAGGCACAATGATAGTCAGGGAAAGATTCATAACTGTTATTTATATGTCTTAGATTAGAAACCTGATGTAAGAACAGATTTATTTGATTTTATGCGTACCAAAATTTTGTACAAGTTTTGTTGAAAATCACTAATACTCTGTATTGATATGAAATACATGGAATGATAAGGCTGTAGATTTGATTTGCTTGTTCAAATCTTCTTAGTTTCATAAAATGCTTCTTCAATAATAGGGGTTATCAGGAGGCAAGTTTTTATTGACATTTCATGAGTATATCTCCTTAATATGCCACCCAACTCATATATTTAGCAGACAAGTAAAACATTTTGAGTTTTGATATTTACACTTTTCTGGATTATAATAAGACAATATTAGAATATCCTAACTAATTGAAACCAGTGCTGCTATCTTTCAAGTTGTTCATCTTAAAAATTGTGAACAATTAATGCATACATATTTTTGTTTAGGGGCCAGCTGAAGCACGCCTCCGGATGCGGGATTTTCTCGCTGTTTTGAAGACCCATTGGTGGCCTTCGGCTGTTTTCTGCTGTTTGGTTGGGTTGTTGTCTCTTTGACACATTCCCCATTTCCATTCTCAATTTTATAGGATAGTTTTCCAAACTGTAAGATTCTAGGCTGTCTAGTAAACTAGACAGAGGATCCAAATCTTACAGTGATATGATATTAGATCTAGATTTCGTTAATCTCTTACCAGATAAAAATAGAAAAACCAATAAATAATTGGCAGAACTGAAAAAAATATGTTTGGTTTAATGATTTCCATACATATATCATGATGTTTGGTTTAATGGTCTCCATACATATATCATGATGTTTGGTTTAATGGTCTCCATACATATATCATGATGTTTAGATTTAATGGTCTCCATACATATATCATGATGTTTGCAGCAACAAAAACATTTTTGTTATCTATTTTTTAGGCAAGACTTACAGAAGTTGATGGTGAAAATGAGTGTTACAAGGTTCAACTGAAACAGAAAGATCAAGAAATTGCCAGTCTTAAAAAGGTTAGTCAAATGAGAAAAGTTTGGGAAAAAAGTGTCATATTTTTCTGAGGAAGCATTTTTGCATTGAAATAGGATGTATGTGACAATGAAAATGTCAAAATCATCTTGGGCATGATGAAAATAGTTATTAAGCATTTATTTAAATGAAATAGTACATGGAAGCCATACATTTTATAAATCATTATAATGAAATTCATCCATGGACATTAAAGTTGACTTTGTGTGAACTAGAAGTAGCTTATCATCTTCTATATTCATAGAAAGTTGCAATAAATCATGTAAAAATCAAAATCAGAGTAAAGTAGCATATCTTGTGACATCAGAGTTGACCTTGTTTAACACAGTGTGTCATTTTTGTCTCACATATTTACTAAGAAAATGTCATTTTCATCTTATCTTTCTCATTTATTAGGTCATTTAAACCTGATTTTAAGAAGGACCTTACATTGTTCCCTAAACAATTTGGTTTAATTGTTACTGAAATGATTAGAATCAGGTCTTTACAAATAAATATGGTTATTCTTTATAGTTAACAGATAAAATGCACCAGGAACGAGACCGTGTTTCTGATATCATCAGGCAGGAGTTTGCAGATCGTTTAGTGACAACAGACGAGGAAAACAAACGACTGAAGAATGGAATGTCAGAGATGAAGGCAAGACACAGAATAGAGCTGGATAGACAAAAAGAACATATAGAGGAAATAAGAAAACAGAAAGATGAAGAGATGGAGGAGGTTCATAAGAGGTGTGTACCTAGTTATCTCCCTTTTAAGTTGCTGTGTATATAGTTACTTCCCCTGTTGACTGGTTTGTACCTAGTTATCTCCCATTGTATGTAATAACTTGTCCTGTAGACAGGTTTTTACCAAAACATCTCCCTTTTAAAATGTCTTTTAACATCTCCATTTTTGACTGTTTCACTTACAAAGATTGTCCCCCATTTGACAATATTTGATTAAACTTCAATTTACAAAACAGATAGATGTCTTATTCACATTTTCAACTAAGGTATTCATTATTTATATGGAGGTTGTCCTTGATGAGAACTTGTCACCCAACTATTGTTTTCTGACATTGACCTCTTTTTCATGCTCCTTTCTTCGGGATTATGTCTGCTTCAGTGTAACCGTATAGGATACATCATTTGGTATTTTATTTTTTTATGGTGTCTTTATTCATGACACAACAAGAATGTGTCCATAGTACATGGATGCCCCACTGGCACTATCATTTTCTATGTTCAGTGGACCGTGAAATTGGGGTCAAAACTCTAATTTGGCATTAAAATTAGAAAGATCATATCATAGGGAACATGTGTACTAAGTTTCAAGTTGATTGGACTTCAACTTCATCAAAAACTACCTTGACCAAAAACTTTAACCTGAAGCGGAACAGACAAACAGATGGACGGACAAATGGATGCACAGACCAGAAAACATAATGCCCCTCCTACTATTGTAGGTGGGGCATAAAGACTCTACATGTATTTGAAAAGTAAAGAATCTATATTTTATTCACTGTTCTTAATCTCGAAGTCACTGATACGCCATCAGAAAAAGACCTCATACCTAATTGGAATTTGAAGATACCCCCAAAGAATTAGTTTGAATGTGATTCTTTGCTAGATTTTCAAAATAAAGTTATTCAAATAACATTTTCAAATTTGATTAAAAACATGAAAAATACCATTTTTGTTTTTTTGTAAAGTTTATGTGAGATTCATGTGAATCTCAATTTACGTGAAATTCATGAGAAAATTTTCACATAAGTTTCAGGTATAAGCTTGTTTGAGGTGAATATCATGTGAGCAATATTTGCTTCGTTTTACATCAATTTGTGACAGCAAAACCCATGTTTAGCTTAGGCCAAGCTTCTATTACAATACAGTTATCTCTTAAATATTCAACAAAGATAATCTAAAAAAATTTATTTGACCTCAGATTCCCAAATGGACAAATAATACCAAGAGAATATCATACACAAATTTTTATTACTTATTCATTTTACACTCAGAAATGTCACATAATTAATTTAGATAATTCCTTGTTATGTTAAATTTTTTGGTACAATCATACTTATATTTGTATCAAGTTGATTGACATTTCTGAAGAAAATGTTGAACTATTGAACTTTTCCATCACTCCCATATTTGTATTTATTTGAAGTCCTGTAAATGATTAACAAAATATATGTGAGCGCTGGTTATTGATTTGTATTAAAACTTCTGTTATTTTTTTAGAACTTGTTTTATTTACTGATTCATCATTTAATCTTACATTCCTTTCAAACGTGTTTTAAAGAGCTACAAGCAGATTAACAAGTAAACATTGTTGAAATTGTCTGACCTCATGATAATCTGTCAGTTTATACCAAAAAAAAGAGGTTTAATTAGTCTGTAGATGATTAAATTTTTTTTTTTAAGTAAATCTGATATGTGTCAGATAAAAATAATTATTTCCTATCAAGTAAACATGAAGCTCGCCTCTGGGTGTGGGATTTTCTCGCTGTGTTGAAGACCCATTGGTGGCCTTGGGCTGTTTTCTGCTCTTTGGTCGGGTTTTTGTCTCTTTGACACCTTCCCCAATTCTATTCTCAATTTTATGATATCTGTCAGATAAATTAATTGTTTTCTCTCATCGAAATCTGATATGTGTCAGATAAAAGTAATAATTTTCTGATATCTGCTCTCGGGTAAATCTGATATCATTCTGCTGAAACTGATTTTTTATCTGAGGTAAATCTGATATCTTTCTGCTGAAACTGATTCTTTTTTTTTCTGGTAAAAGTGATATCTGTCAGATAAAAGTAATAGTTTTCTCACATGTAAATCTGATATCTGCTCGCAGGTAAATCCCATATCTGTCAGACAAAAGAAATTCTTTTCTCTCAGGAAAATCTGATATCTGTTAAATAAACATAATTGTTCTCTCTCGAGAAAATCTGATATAAGAATAATGACATACTAATTGTTTGGAATTTCTTCAAATTACCGTATCGATGTGCTGTTTGGTGTTAAGGGAACATAAATAAGCAAAGCTTAATTATTATTTTCGTTGCAGAGTAAAAGATACAATTGTAAAGAAAGAAAAAAACTTTTAACACAAAATATTTTTCAACCATTTCTTATTCAATTTCTTCATTTACATTATAGAGTAAAAGATGCCATTTTAAAGAAAGAAGAAATTGTAACACAGATCAAGCAGCAGTATCAAGCAGCACAGAAACGAGCAGATCATTTAGAGGGACTGTTACAACAACAGAGGAAACAGCTTCTAGGCAAATGATAAAAACATATTAAGATGGGTCCCATTTCAATGGTGGAAGAAAGGATAATTAAATGCTTTTGTTAGACTTAGATCACCAGGACATGTTGAGTTGTACAGACCATTAAAGTAAAATGACAACAGTGATTCTGTCTCCAATAAATACTGCAAAGATTGTGTCTTTGATCAGGTGAATGGAGAAATTTGTAGAAAGTCCAGGGTACTATCTGTTAATGTTATAATAACTCATCAAAATGCTTGCTTTTAATCTTGTTAATATATCAATTTATCCACTTAATAATCTGGATTGCTGCATAAGTATGTCAGCAGTTTTCAGAACTCATAGATCTGAGCCTCTCTGAAATTAATCTCCACTGTGGAGGAACTCGTGTATATATATATATATATATATATACTAACATCACTGAAGAGACATTAATTGTCGAAATCCGGATATGGTGTACTAATTTTGCACCTTTTGTTCATGGTATATCATCTTTTCCGCAAGTTTATTGTTTTCTGTTTGGTATTAAATTAATAATTAAGATCCATTATGTTACATCTTGTGATCCGTTTATTTGGCAATCGCCAATGGCAGTCAGTAGGGTTTAAGAACATCCGTTGTTCGACCTGCTGGTCAAATGCGTTTTGTTAAAATATACTTTTTCACTTTTTTGGTCTTTTGGAAATTGTTGTTTGTGCTGTATTTATACCCCTCTACCAAGAATTTTTTTTTGCATGCACACGTTTAAAAAATATATAAACAAGTCTAAATTGAAAACAATGTTCAAATCTATGATTGCGTTGGATAAAAACAGCAATTTTTATATGTGTGCATGCAAAACAAAATTCTTGGTAGAGGGGTCTAAATACAGCACAAACAACATTTTCCAAAAGACCAAAAAAGTGAAAAAGTATATTTTAACAAAACGCATTTGACAAGCAGGTCGAAGTATATATATATATATGTATATGCCCACATATCAGTAGGTTTGTCTGTAGGTTGTATTCAGATCAGTAGGTATGTCTGTAATGTTCAGGATCCCAAGATAGTTTACATTTCAGGGACTTAATCTTTAAGGGTGAGAAACATTTCTATGTTATGTTCATGGCTAAAAATACCTAAGATTGCTTACAGGTTTGGAGTTCTATTTTTTGTTGAAATTTTTATCTTGTCTGAAACTTAATCACTTCTGAGAAGAATCATTTCTGTATGTGTGTCCACATTTGTCTGTATTTACATGTGGTGGTTGTGTTTAGATTATTAGAATGGTAATATTGTTTTACTGTCATATACTTTATCAACACTGGGGGAAAGATCTGTATCTGTCTACTCTTGTCAGTTGTTGGATCTCTAGTTTGTGCATTTAAAACCATTAGGTCTGAGATTGTTTACTTTGTGCCTTTGAAACAGTTAGATCTGAGATTGGTACTTTCTGTTACTTTTCTAGAAAAAAGATAACATTTCTGTGTGTCCACACTGTAAGAAGGCATATCTATAGGTTGGAGTCAGAACCATCTGATCCAGGATGATTTACTTCTATAGAAATAATTGTTAACAATGATAACTTTCGTGTGTGTCTACACTTGTAAGTAGGTATGTCTTTAGTTTGTATTTAGAACCATTTGACTTGTTAGATCCAGATAGTTTACTTCTCTAGAAAATAATTCCTAATACAGACAACATTTCTGTGTGTCCATACTTTTCAGTAGATTTGTATATAAATTGTATTCAAGACCATTTTACTTCTTGATCGGTTACAATGAAAACATTTGTATCACCACTTGTCTATAACATTTGTCTATAACATTTGTATCACCACTTGTCTATAAGTTTAATATCTGTTGTTGTTTAATGAATAAACTACTCTATTTATGATATGAAAGTTTTATAATGGATATAAAAGTTGTTCTAGGTATATAAGAAGTTGTTGTGATGTCCCCACCGTAGGCGACAGGGGCATTAAGTGTTACCCTTGACCTTTCGTCTTTCTGTCTTTCCGTCCTTCCTTTTTTCCGTCCGTCTGTCAGTCATATTTTCGTTTGTTTGAAGCTTGAGCGGGGCATTCGTTTCCTCAGACTCATTCTTCTTTTATTTAACATTTTTCTTCAGTAGAATTTCATAGTTTTTTATTTGAATAATTTCTTTTAACAGCATTTATAATATTATCATAAAATCTTTCTTTTTTCTAATGTCAAGGGAGATTACATGTGGTATGCTGTTGACTAATTTATTTTCTTGGGTACCAACTTCCAGTGATTAATTCATAATTACTTGATATTGCGGTTTTAAATCATTCAACATAAAAAGTCCTTTATGAAATTTGTAATTTGTCCAATGCTGAAATGTACCTATTTCAGCTTTAATTCACTGGTTGCTTCATAATACTCATTGATAATCAACAAGATTTAAATCACTAATTGAAGTCAAATTCATTTTATGTCAAACAAAAATCAATTTACTCTTAGATATAAATATTAATTACCATTTATCAGATCATCATTATGTAATACTGTCAAATCAAAACCAATTACTACTATTTAATAGTTGGGTTTTCATCATTGAGAAATAAAATTTCCATAAATTTATTGGGACACATTTAATTAGACTGTTATGTAAGTAGTGATGTTGATAATTTTTCAAGATTTCAAATTTTCTGGTATGAGGCAACATTTAAATTGAAATTCTGTTTCTATCAGTTTTAATATTGTTTTTGTTTAAAGGTCCATGTTCGGGGGGGAAATATACACCTTTTTCAAAATGTACAAGTCGGAAAAAGTATGCCTTTGTAGAAAAATGAGCCTGCTAGCAAAATGTCCAAAAAATAAATGTTTCCTTCAACTGAAACAATACTAGTGAGAAATGTATGTTTTGTACAGAAATAGGATTATAACGAATTTCTTTTGAACAGATGTATTTTTATATTACTGTATTCTTTATTTTATCATTATATTTATCTACACCTTCATTGTGCTGCTTAATGTTGTTATTGAGCTTACTAGACCAATCAAAAAATGCTTGCTTTTCTTTTATCTAGTCCAACTCATTATTTTGCAATTAGGTTATTTTATAGTTACATTATATGAAGTATAAGAATAATGATATATTAAATGATGTCTAAAAATAAGTCTAGTAAAATATATATGTACTAATATAAATGATTGCTCTAAAGTAAACCTCACATTGACTGAAGATTGTGCCCATATAAGATTTACTTTTCTGTGTCCGTTCAGGTGTGATTTTGTGTTTTATTTTAGCCCAACACTTTCTCCTCTTGTGTATGATAAACGAAAACAATTTTAAAAATGCTCATTTGTTTAATCAAATAATTGTACTTGAAGTGCTAGCAGATGTAATGATTTTGTATATATTTGTAGATTTTTTTTATTTATTTATGATATTCATTGTTAGATATTAAAGAAAATATTTTTTACTGTGCTTAGTATTTTTAAGTTTGATGGAATCACCTTAGAAAATATTAGAAATAAGAGTTTACTGTAAAAGCGGAAATGTTTTAGGGTTTTTGTCGAGCCTGCGACTTTTGTCGCAGAAAGCTCGACATAGGGATAGTGATCCGGTGGCAGCGGCGGGGTTAGCTAACTTCTTAAAAGCTTTATATTTTAGAAGGTGGAAGACCTGGATGCTTCATACTTTGTATATAGATGCCTCATGTTATGAAGTTTCCGTCAGTCACATGTCCAATGTCCTTGACCTCATTTTCATGGTTCAGTGACTACTTGAAAAAAAAGTTCAGATTTTTTGGAATGTTAAATTCTCTCTTATTATAAGTAATAGGATAACTATATTTGGTATGTGCGTACCTTGCAAGGTCCTCATGCCCGTCAGATAGTTTTCACTTGACCTCGACCTCATTTCATGGATCAGTGAACAAGGTTAAGTTTTCGTGGTCAAGTCCATATCTGAGATACTATAAGCAATAGGTCTACTATATTTGGTGTATGTAATGATAGTAAGGGGTACATGTCCAACTGGCAGGTGTCATCTGATCTTGACCTCATTTTCATGGTTCAGTGGTCATAGTTTAGTTTTTGTGTTTTGGTCTGTTTTTCTTATACTGTATGCAATAGGTCAACTGTATTTGGTGTATGGAAATATTGTACGATGTTCATGTCAGTCTGGCAAGTTTTATTTGACCTTGACCTCATTTTCACGGTTCATTGCTCAATGTTAAGTTTTTGTGTTTTGGTTTGTTTTTCTAGTACTGTATGCAGTAGGTCAACTATATTTGGTGTATGGAAATATTTTACTATGTACATGTCAGTCTGGCATGTTTTATTTGACCTTGACCTCATTTCCATGGTTCATTGCTAAATGTTAAGTTTTTGTGTTTTGGTCTGTTTTCCTAATACTGTATGCAGTAGGTCAACTATATTTGGTGTATGGAAATATTTAATGATGTACATGTCAGTCTGGCAGGTTTTATTTGACCTTGACCTCATTTTCATGGTTCATTGCTTATGTTATGTTTTTGTGTTTTGGTCTGTTTTTCTTACACTTTAAGCAATAGGTCAACTATATTTGGTGTATGGAATGATTGTAAGGTGCACATGTCTAGCTGGCAGGTGTCATTAGACCTTGACCTCATTTTCATGGTTCAGTGGTCAAAGTTAAGATTTTGAGTTTTGGTCTTTTTTTCTAATACTATATGCAATAGGTCAACTATATTTGGTGTATGGAAATATTATGATCTTTATGTCAGTCGCACAGTTTTTATTTGACCTTGACATCATTTTCACAGTTCATTGCTCAGTGTTAAGTTTTTGTGTGTTGGTCTGTTTTTCTTAAACTATAAGCAATAGGTCAACTATATTTGTTGTATGGAAGAATTGTTAGCTGTACATGCCTGCCTTGCATGGTTTATCTGACCTTGACCTCATTTTCATGGTTCATTGGTCAATGTTTAGTTTACTTGGTTAATGTTAAGTTTATGTGGCAGTTGTAATAAAGCTTTATATTTAGAACTATCAACAAAATATCAATGATTAGTAAAGAAGGCGAGACATTTCAGCGTGTGCACTCTTGTACATTTATTCCGTAGAGAGATATTATCCACTACCGGTATGTCCAATCTCTAACATAAAGATTTTTTCTCCTGGAAACCACAAAATTAATCCACATATCTTGTTTTTTAGATATAGAACAACTAATTTGGGCCCAGCTACGAAGAATGTACAAGAAAGTAGTACATATTTTAAACAAAATAGTTCCTATGCATAGCTGTTACTTCATCAAAAAGTAAAACATTTGGGTAGTTTTGATATTAAATGAAAGCTTAAGGACTTGTGATCACTGTAGAACCCTTGTTGAAAGTTTCTCTTAAATAACAAAATTAATGTATGAAATATTGCCCTGTTGCTCAGATCAGAAGTATATAAAAATAAGAAGATGTGGTATGATTGCCAATGAGACAACTCTCCACAAGTGACCAATTGACACAGAATTTAAAAACTATAGGTCACCAAATTGCCTTCAACAATGTGCAAAGCCCATACCTCATAGTTAGCTATAAAAGGCCCCAAAACGACAAATGTAAAACAATTCAAATGAGAAAACTAACGCCCTAATTTATGTACAAAAAAACAAATATGTATTTTTATGCCCCCGCCGTAGCGGAGGGGCCATTAAGTTTACCCTTGTCCGTCTGTACGTTCGTACGTACGTCCCATAGTTGGTTTCTGTTCTGTAACTTTAATTTGCCTCAAACAAATGTTATGAAACTTATACATAATGCTTATTACCACAAAACACAGATCAAGTTTGAATTTTGGTGGCATCACTTTAACCATTCTAGAGTTATGCTCCTTTACAAATGGAAAAATTGCTGAATTTTTCCTTTCCGTTCTCTAACTTAAGTTTGCCTCAACCAAATGTTATGAAACTTATACACAATGCATATTACCACAAAATACAGATCAAGTTTGAATTTTGGTGGTGTCACTTTAACCGTTCTAGAGTTATGCCCTTTACAAATGGAAAAATTGCTGAATTTTTCGTTTTCGTTCTCTAACTAAAGTTTGCCTCAACTAAATTTTATGAAACTTATACACAATACTTATTGATACAAAACTCAGATCAAGTACAAATTTTGGTAGCGTCACTTTTACTGTTCTTGAATTGCTTTAAATGCTTGAAATTGCATAATTTAACATCGAAAGCTATGAGCTATGACTTAGTGGTTTTATTCCTTCTACAGTATATTCATTAAATATCAACCCTTCACAAATAAACGAAAAGATATGATTTAAATTCAGCATGTGACCAACTGTAATCACATGTTAATTCCATATAATTCAAAGCAGAACCAATCATAGCACACATCAAGATAAATGTTAGATAACTTGACAGTAAACAATTAATGAAAAAGAAAAACTGGTAATACTGTCCACTGCATGGCAATTTAGAGTAATACACTGACCAAAAGAAAGAACATGATGTAGTGCCAATAAAAGTAATCTCAAAATTAAGCCATAGCTGTACAAAACATGTGCATACACCTCAGCCACAGGGAAAGTGTATTGCATTCAAACAGGAAAGAGACAAACTCTGGTATTTATAATGAGGGAAAAAAAGGATAGCATGCAGTAAAATTGGTACTGTTAATATTTTTTATTCATGACACAAAATCCCTGCATGATTTTCACATACCAAACTCATTGAAACGGTGTTCTATTGCAGTTTTTAAAGGCAGTGCTTTAATGCCTTTCTAGTTGCCGGGTTAATCCTTCCTTCCGCGATATCCAACTTATCTACGTGGGGGGTCATTAGACTATAAGTAGATCCGGAAATGTTGAATTCTCTCCTCTTCTTATTGCGATATAAAATGTTTTTTGTTTCATTTCATTTACATTGGGAAATAGAGAAACGATCATTGTGTTTTGTTAGTTTTAAAAACTTTAGATATATTAGTATTTTGCATTATAAGCAGTCAACCGATTGACAAACTAGAATTATTTGAATTCCGTGTGGAAAGAGCTCGGGTTAATTTCGAGTGTTATCTGCAATCTAGATGTTTATAAATCATTTCAGTCGTTGATATAATAATTAAAGGTCGACTGAACATGAATTATATTATACAATTTAAAGCGCATTTCTGTTTATGCACGCGAATCCGTCTAACGTTATTTTCGCAGTTATATAAAGTAGCAAATTATCGTTCCTGAATAGGTGGCGCCGTGGTAGCGGATCCTGTTCCTCTTCTTCCGGTTTCTGCACTCTGCAACTATTTCAGTTATATTTTTAATTAACGATGCCAATTACTTGTTGTTGTGTACCTGGATGTCATTTAAGAGGAGGACATGCATTTCCAAATGACTTAAAAAGAAGGAAAAGTTGGATCAACGCCATGGCCCATACGCAGATTGGACGAGAACACGATGATATCGTGGAGTCCATCTCAATCTGACAGCTGTTGTTTGCAAGGCACGTTTTACTGAAAAAGACTACGTGCAGGAAACTATTCATGGTAAAACTCTATTTTCTTTGTGAAATATATAGTTATATATGTAATCTCCATGCGAATAAACCAAAGTCTGTTTACAACCGCAATTATCGTTTTAGAATAAAAGGAGGTGGGTAATTCAAGACGTCATAATTTTTTGGATTACGATTCAATGTGATCTGTTTGAGATTTTTTGGTGATTACTACAATTATAATGATTTCTTACAAGAGGTATATCATACTGAGAATTATTTTAGCAGTAATTATGCTAATGTAGTAATGACAGGAATGCATAAGCTATGCCTCATAGACTTTCTTGAAAAATATAAATGACAATGTTAACAGGAACAAAACAGTGACATGCTCTCATCTATATTATAGTTATTTAGGTACAAACAATGTACGTTTGTTGCATAAGTCTCTCATTGTTTGTCCTTTGGATTTACATAACATACATTGAATCAGGCAAACATAGTTTTATCCAGATTGTAATGAATAAATCTAGTTAATATTTCGCCAGGTAGTACAAAGTATACATTGCTAATGGAAGTTCATTTAATTATAAAAAATCTAATGTTTTATAACCTTTTTCAGGGCGCAAACCCACCATACAGAGACTTAAGTCTACTGCAATTCCCAGCCTATTTTCCTGGACCAAGCAAGAGACTGAATCGTCCGCAAAAAGAAAAATCAGGGCAGTTTCCTGTGAAAACAAAAGAACTAAACTTGATGAATATTGTAGTAGAAATCTAGAGGAAAGTTTTGATTGTAAAGTTGGTTTTCCTGAAGAAGTCATTCATACTGCAGAAAGGATTTATGACTGTCCACCACCAACTGCCGAGCTAATGTTGAGCTTCACAGATGGAATTACGCAAACACCATCAATGCCTATGTTTTCAGCAGAGAATTTTGAAATGAAGACACGTGACACAGCCATGCATTTTTATACCGGTTTAGAGTTGTATACTAAATTTTTATTTGTTTTGACCACACTTGGTCCAGCAGCACATTGTTTGAGATACATATATTTTCAAATTGATAGGGTGTCAGTTGAAAATCAGTTTTTTTATGACTTTGATGAAATTGAGGCATCATACAACCAACTTTGAACTGTCTAGATTCTAGATTGAATCTAGTGTTAAGAATATTGTGTATACATGGATTATTTTTATGTCTAAACAGTGGTGTGAGGCTAACACTTGGCCATCTAGTGGTTTAGTCAGGTATTTTTCACCATCCAACTTCAAATTAAAGTTTCCTACGACTTGGATTATTATTGACAGCACAGAATATCCCTTCATAAAACCTAAAGCTCCTAGAGCTCAGGCAACCTTTTCATCAAATAAAAACAGAAACACTGAAAATTCTTGAATGTTCGACACCTGGTGGTTTAGTCAACTATGTCTCTATGTCACATAGAGCGAATTATTGGACTTGGCAAAACATACAAAATTCTAATAAATCCTATGAATGAAACTGAAACAAAACTTTCATCTGATGTATGTTGTGTAATTTTAGAACTTGTATTGTGCCAAAGGATGCATAAATAAAAGTGACGCAATGAATTTTGTTCTGATATATATATATTTACAATTACATGCACATGTAAATTGTAATGCATATAAAAATAAGGAGATGTGGTATGATATTCAGTGAGTTTATCAAACTAAAGTGCATAAGAAATGGGTTTAAGCAGTTACAGGTGTTACTGTCACCGTACAATCTCCAACAATGAGAAAAACTCGTACCCTGTAAAAAATTTCAGAGATCTTACAACTAAGTTTTGTTGTCTCACCTTGACTTTGGTGAATTTTTTATATCTGTTGATGTAAATATAAAAAAGAAGATGTGGTATGATTGCCAATGAGACAACTCTCCACACATGCACAAGAGACCAAATGACACAGAAATTAACAGCTATAGGTCACAGTACGGCCTTCAACAATGAGCAAAGCCTATCATACCGCACAGTCAGCTATAAAAGGCCCAGAAATGAAAATGTAAAACAATTCAAACAAGAAAACTAACGGCCTATTTTATGTAAAAAAATTAACAAATATAACAAATATGCAACACATAAACAAACGACAACCACTGAATTACACTTTTATAGGCTCCTGACTTGGGACAGGCACATACATGTACATACAGAATGTGGCGGGCTGAAACATGTTAGCGGGATCCCAACCCTCCCCCTAACCTGGGACAGTGGTGTAACAGTACAATATAAGAAAGAACTATAAAAATCAGTTGAAAGAGGCTAAACTCATCAGATGGATAAATACAAATACAAGTGGAGGTGGTCGGGTAGTTGTACATCCAAACAACAAAAAGACACTAAATACAAATCTGAGAGTACTCGCAGTTACTGACAGCTAGTTCAAAGCCACTAACAACTGATAAAAAAATCTTGCATCTAAGACTAAATTATCAATCCGTAAGCTCCCTTTAGAATTTTATAAATTTTAGATTTTACATTTCTGAGTTATGGGGTTTTATTCATTAAAAAAGGGGGGATTTTCCAGTTTTTGGACAACAACTCAAAAATGCTTTAAGCAGTTCACATGAAACTTTGGTGAATTATTTATAGCTATTGATGTAATCTCCCTATTGATTTTCATAAATTTCAAATATGACATTGAGAAGAAATTGAACTTTATTTGTTTATAGTCTGGCAACAGATTTATTAAGTATTGCACAACAGCACAGTGTATTGCACAACAGCAAGAAATCTTTAATTGAATATAAATTCAATTCATATAACCGATTTCAAGTTCATTGACTACATTTATTCAGAAACTATAATATGTCAAATATTTAATTACAATCCAAATTCAGACCTGTATCAAGCTTGAATATTGTGTCCATTTTTGCCCCAGCTGTTCAGGGTAGTACCTCTGCGGGTGTATCCAGCTGCGCTCAGCGAATCAGTTTATTTCTTAATTAAGAACTCCTTTTTATACGACCGCAAAAAAATTTTGTGGTCGTATATTGGTATGACGTTGGCGTCGGCGTCGACATCCGAAGACACATTAGTTTTCGCACTCTAACTTTAGTTTAAGTGAATGGATCTCAATGAAATTTTAAAATAAGGTTCAATACCACAAAAGGAAAGTGGGGATTGATTTTGGGGGTTATGGTACCAACAGTTAAGGAATTAGGGGCCAAAAATAAGCATTTTTGTAACTTCCAGACATAACTTGTGTGTAAGTGTATGGATCTCACAAGGTTCCATATCACAAAGGGAATGCTGGGATTGATTTTTGGGGGTAATTGCCTCCAAATTTTAGGAATTAGGGGCCAATAGGGGCAAAAAACAAGCATTTTTCTAGTTTCATGACAATAACTTGTGTGCAAGTCTATGGATCTCTCTGACATTGTATCACAAGGTTCCATATCACAAAGGGAATGCTGGGATTGAATTTGGGGGTAATTGCCTCCAAATTTTAGGAATTAGGGGCCAAAAAGGGGCAAAAAACAAGCATTTTTCTAGTTTCATGGCAATAACTTGTGTGTAAGTGTATGGATCTTTATGAAATTGTACTACAAGGTTCCATATCACAAAGGGAAAGCTGGAATAGAGTTTGGGGGTAATTGCCCAAAAAGTTTAGGAATAAGGGGCCAAAAATAAGCATTTTTCTAGTTTCCAGACAATAACTTGTGTGTAAGTCTATGGATCTCTCTGACATTGTATCACATGGTTCCATATCACAAAGGGAATGCTGGGATTGATTTTGGGGGTAATTGCCTCCAAATTTTAGGAATTAGGGGCCAAAAAGGGGCAAAAAACAAGCATTTTTCTAGTTTCATGGCAATAACTTGTGTGTAAGTGTATGGATCTTTATGAAATTGTACTACAAGGTTCCATATCACAAAGGGAAAGCTGGGTTTGAGTTTGGGGGTAATTGCCCTAAACGTTTAGGAATTTGGGACCAAAAAGGGGCCAAAAAACAAGCATTTTTCTAGTTTCCAGACAATAACATGTGTTCAAGTGTATGGATCTCTCTGAAATTGTACTGCAAGGTACCATACCACAAAGGGAAGGCTGGGATTGAGTTTTGGGGTGATGAATCATAAGGGGGTTCAAAAAATTTGGGGGGGGGATTCTTTTTCCTTTTTTTTCTTTAAAATTTTCCATTTTAAATTGGTTATTTCTGATTTATATATAAAAGCAAATAATAATGATATGGTTTGAATAGGTAAATTTAATTTTTTTTTAAGTATCTTAGACCACTTTCATTCTGTGTCAGAAACCTATGCTGTGTCAAATATTTAATTACAATCCAAATTCAGTGCTGAATCAAGCTTGAATGTTGTGTTCATACTTGCCCCAACTGTTCAGGGTTCGACCTCTGCGGTCGTATCAAGCTGCGCCCCAGCGGAGCATTTTATTTCATTCATAAATTACTTTATGCTTGGAAATATAATTTTGCTTGGAGTTGAAAGAGTTGACATGTTGCAATGTACATTTACTCTACATAGTTCTATGGTACCAAATCAAAAGTTTATATAAAGAAAGAAGTCAAAGGTTTCCCATCATAGTTTAGTTACATACATTTTTTTTGTACCTGAGGTCGTTGAATATAGATCATTATATAAATAAGGAGATGTGTTATGATTGCAAATGAAAAAACTAAGGATTTTCTTATCCAAGGAATAGATTTCCTTAGCCGTATTTGGCACAACTTTTTGGAATTTTGGGTCCTCAATGCTCTTCAACTTTGTACTTGTTTGGCTTTGTTACTATTTTGATCTGAACGTCACTGATGAGTCTTATGTAGACGAAACACACGTCTGGCGTATTAAATTATAATCCTGGTACCTTTGATAACTAATTTGACTATAAACATAGATAAAAAAGGTACAAACTGGACATAATGCACTAGTTCATAAACAAGTGAGAACAATCGCCTTCATATAGTGCTCAGAATATGACATTCATAAAACTTATTCAATATCATTAGAGAACTCTAAATCTTAAATACTGAAAGCCACCTCTGATAAGTACACTGTACTATGCAAGATAATGATATAACTGGACTTAAAATACACACAACCTGTAATTAACTGCCTTTACAGCGCTTTCGTGCTTTGATTCATCTCAAGTCATAGTGAGGCATTCAACAAATAGCTAAATTGCAACCTTCTTCTCAAGTCACAGTGAGATATTCAAGACATAGCAAAACTTGCAACATTCATTTTAGTACACTTACATCTTATGAAATAGAGCAAGCAAAACCCATTTGGGTCAACTCAGTGAAATGTAATTTTGAAATTATGTATATATCTTTTCTTATCTTGAAGAAATTTTGTTTCTTCTAAATACCAGTATTGTATTATTTTACATTCTATGGTCAAAGTTTCTGTTAGACACATAGAAATTCTATGTATTTCCAACATCTAACATCAAACACATGATGCACAAAAACCCACAGATTTTTAAAACATTTAGTTTGTCAAAAGTCATTAAAAAACACTATATAAATAACACATAGCTGAGAGGGTGATAGAGCAGATTGTTACCCCGAGAAAATATTGTCAACTGAGGCGAAGCCAAGGTTGACAATGTCTTTTCGAGGGGTAACAATCTGCTCTATCACCCTCTCAGATTTGTGTTATTTAATTTATTATACTGAATGTTCTCTTATTATTGTCGATTAAATTTCAAATTCAAAGTAATAAACTATGACGTCTTGTACATAACAACCATCCGTATTTAATTAAGCGCACACTTGATCAAGCATCTCTGTGAAGGGTAATAGAGTATTTGCCATAGGATAGAGTCGTATTTAATAAAGCACAAAGTTGATCAAGCATCTCCGTGAAGGGTAATAGAGTATTTGCCATAGGATAGAGTCGTATTTAATAAAGCGCACACTTGATCAAGCGTCTCCATGAAGGGTAATAGAGTAAATTAATACCCTCGTATTAGCCAATCAAAATATGGCATTTTGACATGAAGTATAATAAATTTAATTAATCAGAAGACATTATTTGTATAATACCAAATAAAAAAAATGTTTGCAGTTACTGCATGCAATTTCAAAGTATTTATCCCTCAAATATTAAATGATACTGTCCTACATTCTTGTATTGTTTACAAGTTGTCTTCTGTAATTCCCATAACAGATTTGTATTGTTAACAAGTTGTATTCTGTAATGCCCATAACATATTTGTAATGTTTATAAGTTGTCATCTGCAATGCCCATAACAGATTTGAATTGTTTACAAGTTGTCTTCTGTAATGCCCATAACGCATTTGT